GCACCGCCGCGGCCGGCCCCTCTCTGGGGGTGGGAAGAGGCAGCGCCCGCTTCGTGGGGCCTCCCGTGCCATGATGCCCCCCCAGCCCCGGGGCCCTAAAGCGAAGGCGGGGGAGAGGCCCCGTCGCAGGCGGTGGGGAAGCAGCACTTGGGAGCTTTGTCCCTGTAGGGCAAGGGGGAACAGCAGTTACCCGCGTAAAATTGACTGAAAGTGCCTTTACAACTTGTTTTTGTAACTTTGCTTCTGTGTTGGAGACTGGAAACAGCAACAACAACAAACTGCAGTGCCCCTGCCCATTGCTGTTTTTAGTAATTGCAGCCATGGTGATGATGGTGCCCTTTTGCAGAGCAGAGGAGCCAGTGCCGACCTGTCAGCGCCCTAGTGCTCTGCGGGGTCAACGGGGAAAACAGGAATGATGTCCCAAGTTCAACTGGCTTTTCAAACCGCAGGCGGGGGGGAGGGGCGAGGGGGAAGTGTTTTAAGAGTATAGTAAAAAAATACATTGGAAGGGAGTTATCATCTTAACGTAGACCAGCAGACACAAAGTGGTGTGATGGCAGGGAAGGCAGGGCAGGGACAGTAGGGTTCGAGCCAGCTTCTTAGGCAGCCTTTTCTGTGGGCGCTGTTTTTTTGTTTCCAATGTACTTTTCCGTGTGTTTCCTGCTAACTAAGGGCCCATCATTGTTGTAATATAACACATGCAAAGTTGTTTCTTTTTGATGACTGAGGAAATTTAAATTTAAGCTATGGTTTAACATTAGCTGGTAGTGCTGTTTGTGCAGTTACGTTGTTACCTAGTTGTACTTGCACAAATGTTTGGATGATCCCACCCTGGCCTGTATGCAGCTGAAAACTAACCTAGCAAAAAAGGCCCCCCACCAGTGGCTCATTGTTATGGCCTTGATTTGAATCATACTTGTGCCACGGTGGATATACAAGTTACTAGTGAAAATATCTTTTATTACAATCAATGTATTGACTTTTCACCACTTTCCCCATTTGCCTGTGTTGCCTTTTAAGGTCGAATTCTAGTAAGCTAAAGATCTTAAGGTAAAGAGGCCATTATTACCTAACCTCTCCAGACTGGTTGGTAAAGTAATAGTCACAAGATTTGTTAAAAAAAGAAATGTGTGACAAGCTGGAAGTTGAGATAAAAGTATGCCTTTACTAAATTTAATATGAACTGTTTTATTTCCCAAGAAAGATTGCATTTTGTCTTATTTCTTAGTAAATTCGATAGGTTCAGTAGTAATGCTATCTGTACTTTTCCCTAGGTGAATTTGGGAAAAGTACACATTTTCTGGTTACACCTAACATATACAGAAACCTGCAGAAACAAATCAGACGTTGTTTTATTTAGTTACAAGATAACCTACATTATAAAAAGTAAGAATTTTTCATCAATATATTTTCATAGTGTTGCATGGCAGACAGTACTTGTACAGTAAAGATAACAAGCAAAAGGAATTAATTTTTTACTTTCCAAGTTCCTACTGTTTTGATCTCAAATTGAAAAAGCCCATGGTATTTTTTTCTAGGGGACGCTATGCCTCAGTGATAGAATTGGAGTGTTGTTTGGACAGTGTGTTGGGAGGGCCCAGCACTGACAGCTTTGCCAAGCCTCCTCACTAACCCCACTGCAAAAGTGAATAGCCCACCCTTAGTGGTTGTGATTTACTGTAGTGATCAGCATTGCATTTATTTCTCCTGTCTAGAGAGAGCAGCTTCCAGTTGCAGATGATGATAGCGAGAACGGCAGTGACAACGAAGATGAGCAGCCTCAAGTGGTAACGCTGAAAAAAGGGGACTTGACAGCTGAAGAAGCAATGAAAATTAAACAGCAAATCAAAGAGGCCTTAAAGTCAAATGAATCAGGTGAATTTCAGACTACTCATTTCTTGCTTTGTATAGCCAAAGAGAGATAACCCATAAAAGGGAGCTTGATATTTGCCCAGTCTTCTACTGTTTAATGTTACCCTAGTTGTTTTGAATTTTTCAGCTACCAAATACCATGTGCATCCTACCTCCAAGTACCACCTTAAATTTTTTTTTTTTTTTTTTTTTTGATCGTGATGCGTCATTGTCCTGGTACACAGTCTTTTGACATCACCTGTGATAAATTTTTAACTCCTTAATTAATTCAGCCAAATTTGTTGGTGGAGTGGATGTCTTAAAGGTTCGTGAAAGAGAGCTGCCATGTCTGGACAGAATGAGGAAACTCAGGTTAGTGCTTCAGTGGAAAGAATGCAGGTGTGTAAGCTTGCTAACGTTCACTTAACTGACCAGTCATTGTTATCACTGCCTAAAATCATCCCCAGTGTTTTGTGACTTGCAAATATATTAGTTGAAATTAACAGATGATACCATAGTGCCAACAAGCAGCACGGTATAGAAAAAAATGTTTCTTTGCTACAAAGAATTAGAAAGCTTTATCTAAGTTATTTAACAGGCTTTTCAAAAATGGAAAGATGGAAGTGGTGTGGGAGAGGTTGCTGCAGTTAGACAGTGAAGATGGGAAACTATAGCTGATGAAAACAGTTGTGTTAAAAATTTGTTTATATTCATCATGCAGATACGGTTGACATCAGTGCTTTGAGAGTCCAAAAACTTCCATCATCCCACAGGGTGTGATGAAATGTAGCTTTAATTTTATTTTTTACTGACAGAAGACTTGACAGTTTAAAGGTAGCTATTACCATCTCTGGTGTAATTGTCTTGATAATTAAGAATATACAACTGGAACTTCACAAGCATAAAATAGAAAGGTGATTCATAGAAGCTGTGGACCTTTTCCTTGGTTAGCCATTGTGGCTACTTACAAAGGCTATAAATGGCGTTTAGAGCAGATTGAGAGGCTAGCACGTGGTTATCAGTCTGACATCCTTAGCGTCTGTCTTTTTCTGCCATTTGGATTCTTAAATCCAAGTTTGTGCTGTCCCTATGTAGAAGTATGTGTTAAAATTTAAATGGTAGAACTTATATAAATGGAGAAGTCAAATAACAGTAGTGGGAGAAAATACATTGAGAATCTTGTATTTTTGAAAAGCAGATTGATGAAAAATTCTTACTTTTTATAATGTAGGTTATCTTGTAACTAAATAAAACGTCTGATTTGTTTCTGCAGGTTTCTGTATATGTTAGGTGTAACCAGGTAGAGGACTGAGGGCTGTGTTTATCTAATTTGAACTCCTCTGAGAAAATGTGTTCAGCTTCCAGCTTACTTCCTGGTCTCTTGTTACTGAAGTGTAATACATGTGCTGGGTGTTGCAGTTTGTAAAGTTGTCACATGATTTCTTTTCAAAAGTGGGATCACCCTCTTAGTGTTGGGAGAAATTTCAGCCTATTGGAAAGAAACAGCATGATTCTTTCTGAGTGTTGGTTTCCTTTTCATATAAGCAACTTGAATTTTGAATGATCACAGTAGGAGGAAAAATGATTATGTAAGACTGGGCAAAAAGTAGTTGTTGTCCATGAGAAACTATTGAGGTCAAGTCCATACTGTGAAAAAAGTCCAAAAGAGCTACCAAGCTGAATACACAGTGTGAAATGGAAGTGTATTTGAGTAGAGTAACTGAACTTCTTTGGTGGAAAAAGACATAATTGTGTGTGGTGAGGATGGTAGTAGTGAGTGCCTGTAGGACTTTGGCACCTCTGCTTATTACCCCTTCATCCCTTCAGTAATAACTTGCATTTGGAGGAAAAAATCCACAGCAGTAGCGAGAGTGTTGAATCACTCTGCTCGGGGGACTGCTGCCCTCTGTTCTACATTATTGTGTTACTCTTCCCTCATCTGCCTTTGCTGATGATATGAGGTCTTGGTCCTTTTTTTGACTTATGGGAATAAACAGGGTAAGTGCTACTATGTCCCTCTGCTATGGAGAGGACCTGGTGTGAAATTTTCAGTGAAGGTGTGGTGACTGTGCTACAGCTTGCTGAAGGCTTTTTTGAGTCTTTGGCCATCTTTGCACTATCAGTCTGACCTCTAGATTTAAATTCTGATTTCTAGTCAGAGGCAGGTATTTAACAGCTGGTTACTTTCAGCTTAATAAAGAGAATTTTGAGTAACGTGTTAATTTCTTTTCTTTTTTTGGATAATTGTCAGTTCTCAAAGTAAGGTTGATGCTGCATGATTTGATTGTTTCTTATTGCTTTGATTTTTATCCCAGAGTTGAAAGTGAAATTAATTTAATGGGTACTAGACCGTAATATATAGCCCCAAATCAGATCATTAGTGAAATTTCATGAAGCTGGAAAGGTAGTAGGGTAAATTTCCCAGTTGATAATCTTCCTTTCCACCATACATAAATGCTGAGGCACTTTGATAGATCGTAAGTAGTGTGCTGCTAACTGTCTGTTGTGAGTAGAAAGTTAGTTTTTCAAAATATGGAACGTACTCAGTTTTGAGGTTGCACCCTCTCCTCTTATATGTCTTCAGGCTTTGATTTGGGATATTCTAGGATTTTCTGTATCTCATTTACATCCTTTCTCCTTCATTTTCTTCTATGACCAGTTTGACACAGCTACACTTTTTTTTACTTCAGGCACCACCAGTTCCCATGACGTGCATTTTCTTGTACAGATGAGTAACAGTTTTGCGTGGATTTGGCAAAAACACCTGGTTAATGTCCTGGCTGTACTTAGTTGCTTCCTAAGGCAGAACAAAATTTAGTGAAGCTTGTGCGTTGGCTTTTGCAAGTATAGTCACAGGGAACTTTTTTGTTTAGGACTGAACCTTTCCTATGTGAGACAACACCCTTCCATGTTGAAATAATTTTCTCCATGGAAGACTAACTTAGAGGCTTTTTAAAAAGAAGTAATTTGCTTATTAACAGTAATTTTGCTTAATATTTTTATGCAGCATTTTATAAATTTTTACTGTTGGTTCAGAGGCAAAGAAAAATGGTCTTATGAGAAACTAAATTTGCACAAAAGAAAATACAGCAATTACTGCAAGATACTTTATCCCAGCATTCATTATAGCCCATGGAACTGATTTTTCTACTGCTTTTCTAGTTCATCTGGCCTCTGTGACACTGACACATGCAGATGACTGAATTCAGCAGAAGGTGTCCTGACTCATTACAAGTCTTTTAATATTATTCTTGTCTCATTCTATATGCTGGGGTTGGGGAAGGACAAGAGAGGGGAGAGGCAAGGAGAATGCAGTCCATGCGGTCTTGGCTATTGGAGCTCTTCCCTTAGCTTAAGCAGCTGTTAGCTATGTATCACAGAGTTCATGCTAGCAGGAATCTAAATCAACGCTAATTTTACAGTGTTTAAGTAACCAAAACTTTCGCGAGTGTCCTCATAAACAATTGAGACTGAACATCTGAGCAAGACTGGCCTTTTTGTCTTCCTGATACCAGTGTGCAGAATTCCTGTAGTAAATGCTTCCAAAGGCATGCATAGAGATGAGTGGCCAGAAAGCACTAGAAATGGCTGACTTGAACTTCTAACTTTAGAAACCATTAAGAAATTTGCCAGGTTATCATAAATTTTTGCCAACCTTTATCACTGAATAGACATGTATCTTGAAATATTGTTGGCGCTGCTCCTCCTGTTGTTCCTGCCAGCTTAGTGGCATTTGTGCTTCCTGTTGTTGCCTCACTGACCCATGCAGACAGAAACTGCTGAAAAATGGTGCTGCTAACTACACAAATTACTACTAAATAAAAAAATACAGTAAACTGAAGAGCAGTGTTTCTTTTTCAGGCCCTCATTTCTATTTCTTTTGTAATATATAACTTGCAATTAAAAGAGAAGAAAAAAAATTCTGAATTTGTGGCTTCTTAAATTGATGTCCCTTGTGAAGTGAGTTTTCAGCTCAACATCTGATTGTGCCCCTCTTGGTCAACCGGTGTAAATGTTTGTGGTCCAGGTAAAATCAGCAGTAACTAAAACCAGTCAGAATTTGAACTGCTAGTGTCATTTTTTTACTTGCTTTTCGGAAGTGGATTTTACTATTTCTCCTGTAAAATACAAATGTTGGTTGTATTTTACTTTGTGTGTTTCAGTGTGTTTATCAGAATTCCTGTTTTCCACCATTTGTGATACTGATACAGTCTTTTATCAGGGCTGTGTTTTTAAGAACTACCAACACTGAGATTGTTTCTTCAATCTCTTCTTTGCATTGCTTAATACAAGTCAGTTTTTGGAGGTCATCAATACAAACAAAAAAGACAGCTAACAATAAGAGTCTGGTGAAATTAGAAAGGATGAAATTAAGTTTTTTTACCAGCTGGAAAAGACAATCTTAACAAATCAACAGAAATTTCTTGAGCTGCTACATCAAATTCTTTCAAAAAGCATAGCCTGTCTGTTCTCCCTCTTTCCACAAGTTGCTAAGGTAAGGCTAGGCCTACCGTGTTTCCTCATCTTCATTCTTTGTCAGGCACTGCCAACACATCATAGCTCTCCAAAGCTGGCCTGGGCTTCCTGTTTAAAGGAATATCCTTGAGCATTTAGTGAAATTTTGACAGTGTTTAACCAGGCTAAGAGCTAAAATCTTTTCCTTTGATGCAGAATGATCTGCAAATAGTATTGAGGCCCTGGAGGTCATTTTGGTGGAGTTACTGAGCTTTGCTCTGTTTATGCACTTTGCTTATTAGGCGTTTAAATTCATATTGCAGATACCTATCAGCTTCTCTATCTGGTAGACAAGGTGAAATTATTTTGTGCAGTTGACAACGTGGGTAGCAGGAGAGTTGGGAGTAAAAATGAAATTTCCAACTTCCATTTTTCCATGGAGTATGAGTATGTAGCTGTTTATCTGATTTATTTTATGGATATGCTTTCATTTTGGTTTTGGGGGTTTGGTTTTTCAATTTACCATTCTAAGAAAATGTAGTAATCACTCTTTTAAAGAGTGTCCAGTGAGGATTTTCTTGATGCCTCTCATGCTTATGCAGTAGCTGGCTGTTCTGTTTCCACAGCTATACCAGTACTGTGTACAGTCTGTACGCTGACTGGCTCAAGTACATAGACAGTTGGCTCTGCTCATGAATGAAATTTTTCTTACGGATTAATTTTTGAATTTGGCTTTTATCGTGCCTCAGATCTTGTTTAAGTTAGAAGATCTGGGTTTCCAGATAAACATTCTAGTTAAGCAGCAATTAGTAAGGCAAATTATTTGATATTAAACTTCTGAGCCCAAAAAATGGAGGCCCAACTTCTGAGAAAAATGATACATAGTGCATTTTGATTGGTTGGGTGTGATACGTTTTCAGAAATAGTTGTTTTTTCCTCCCAGAATTTACTGTAGGGACTTCCTAAATGTCTGTGTCACACATACAGCATCTAAACACCTAAGCTTTCCGTGCAGAATTCACAATGGATCCATTGAGAAGTATGCTTTTCATACCTACAGTTTATTATTGCTGATAATTCCTTGTAACTGTAATGCTTTTCTAACTCACCAGTATTGAAATATTTTCCCAAAACATGGTTAGTTATTTTATGCATCGTAGTATTCTCTCATAAACTAGTGCAGAAGCATGCATTCTGTAGAAGTCATTGGCAGAATTGGTGCTTAGTGTTTTAAGCTAGGTTTCTTCTTAAAAAGGGTCTCTGAAACTTGAGGAATTCTAAGTGAAGTTTCCTAATGAATTTAATGTCTTCATTTTTACCACACAACCCTTAAGACACCAGATTTAATAGTTGTATTGTACGGAGTATGCACTGAAGAGTGTTTCAGCCAGTGCTGTGTATGGTAACACCGAAATGTTAGTCTTCTGCTATAATGTTTGTAAATTGAGGAAAGAGAAAAGATATTTATTGGTTATAATTAAATAGCACATAATCTTATCAAACAAATGCATATTGTTAGGAAATTTCTGTTGAATAATTAATTTCACAAAAGTACTTTAGCAAAAATATCTTGCACAGAACCTATGGTTCTTTAACATCCTGTCACATATACATTATAAAAACTGCAAGCTACTGCAGCAGGAGCCTTTGTGTCTGATTCATGGCTTTCCAATTACACTTTTTTTCCCAGAAATACTGCCTTGATGGTGTTACTTGTGCAGTAGCTTTCCTCCTCTGCCTGATAATTCTGGAAGGGACTCTACATGCAGAGGAGCACAGTCAGTTGGAATAGTTTGGTGATTCTGCAGATACAAACAAACCCTAAAACATCCATCCTATATGATAATAAGAGGCAGGTTTATGACCATGTGATCTTTTTAGCTGTCTCAGCAGGACAGGGTATATTAGAAGAAAAAAAAAAAAAGCTTTGTCTTGTGTATGTGCCATTTTGTTCTTTAAGAGACACCACAATTCTGAAATAAGTGCATTTATTGTCAAGGATTTTACAAAGAGTGAAGAGGAATTAAAGGATCTTATAAAGTTGTCCTCTCCATTTTGATAAGTGGATGCACTGGATTGTGTGGGGAAAGCTCTACTGCTCACAGTCTCTTCTAAGTTAAAGCTCTGGTTAGTGAGAAACTATTTCTAATAGGAGCTGCAGGAGAACTGTCTTCGAGGGCTGGTTGCCATGGAGCAGATGTGTGTTCATGAAGGACATTCATCGATACAGACTTTGTGCCCAAAAAATACATTTGCATAATTGTTGTATTCTATCAGAGGTCTCACTGATCTTGGTTCTGGGGAAAATGAAAAGATAATAGCGAAGGTCTGTATATGTGTGTGAACATGTGCAGATGAGTTCTGATATTACTCCCTTTGTTCTAGATGGTGAACCAGAACCTGCCGATGGAAAAATTGTATTCAGGAAACCAGCCAAACGTTCATCAGAGAAGTTTTTGGACTTCAATATAAGTTCAAGTAAGAAGATGAAAGAGGCAAAGAAAACTAAGAGAGAAGCGACTACTCCTCAGAGTGCAGCTAAGCAAATAAAAAATAGCAGTCTTCTGTCATTTGATGATGAGGAAAATGATGATTAGGAGTTGAGTTTTTTGTATTTCACTTACCCTTCTAGGGATCTGAGTAAGATTGAGGTTTTTCCTAGAAATTGAAGCATTGTATCTGAGTCCTCTCTTACTTTGTTATAGTCCAACTAGAGAAACTTAGTATAAAACTAGCAAGAGCTAAGTCTCTGAAGTTAGATGGAACTGTATGAACAGTATGTCATGTCTTTCTTTTAAGAGAGAATTTAACCATGTATGTAAAAGCTATTTGAGGTCACAAATGAGTAGCAAAATATACCTGTACATATCCAGCTTAGATAAACTTTCAATCAGTACATTTTAAAATGTATTTACTAGTCTTAGTTGACAGTTGTGTGTTTTTTACCTCTTATTTCTGGCTTGATATTCAAAAGAGAGAGACTTCATTGCTGTGGAACAGACTGAAGTTTTCTGTCTTATAGCTTAACAAAAATTTGCACAACTTCTGCATGTGTGGTTTGGCAGGTTAGCTCTTCGCAGAGCCCTTGAAGTAAGTGAGCCTGCAGTTGATGAATGCAGTCTAAGAAGCATCAAATTCATTTTCATTGATTGTGCTAGCAAGATATAAAAATTGTGGTTGTGACTGATGGTATCAACTAATGCAAAAGAAAGATGCCTAAACCCTTGGAGACTGCACTTCAGTTATCATACTGATGGGCTCAGTAGTTTGGTGGTTGTTGTTTGTTTTTTTTTAAAAGTATATTTCAGTTCGCTACTTATGGGTTCATAATTACTTGGGATCTAAACCAGCTCATTTTAAAAAAAATGTATTTCATCTTTAAGCTGTGGAAAAGCTTTATTTTGGTTTTCTTCAAGTAGGAAATTGTAAACAGGAAATTTAAGTCAAGAAACGTGATAGCTGTGATACAAAGTTTTAAAATTTTTCAGTTGCCCATGTACAGTACACTGAAAGTAACCATAGGTGGTCCTGCTTTGGCAGAGGGGTTGGACTAGATGATCTTTCGAGGTCCCTTCCAACCCCTGACATTCTGTGATTCTGTGATTTCTGTACCATTTATGTAACAGGATGTGCTGAAATTCAAAATAAGACCGAGAGCTGATGGGATTGGGGACAACAAGGTGGTGGAAATGGGACTAATGACTTTGAAATTATTTGGAAGTAGGGTGAGTTCCGTAACTATGTGTAAACAAGACCTCAGACTGCTGCAGAATTACAAGGTGTGAGGCAATGAAACCAGTTCTTCTGCTGTGTGAGAGGACATTGAAATTATTTGGGCTGTAAAGCTTCATTGAGGAGCAAATTTGAAGTTGCTGTGTGAAACAGCTGGTTTTAATTTGTTAATCTGGTATTAAACAATAAATTATGTTTTCTTTAATCGGTCCAAAGACATTTTAATGAAAATTTCGCGACATAAAATGGGATTGTTTGTCACCTGATAATAAAGCCTCTTATGACTGCTGTCTCCGTACATACCAATCTCCTGCAGCATAAGATCAGATGCAAGTCAGCACACTGTTTCACACTAATTGTGTCTGTGCATGTTACCCTGATTTTGAAAATGAGATGTGTTGTCCTTTCAGAAAATTAAAACCAGACCTATAAATGGATATTAAAGTCTTGTAGCACTTGTCTGATACTAGAACTGCCATGGAGGTGCAGTGTGACAACCTGATTATTCCCATGAGGACATGTTAAAGACATCATTTGTCTGTATTCTGCATATATATATATAAAAAATCAAATGTAGGAAGAAGAAATACAGACTGAAAGGTTCCCAGGGGTTGATCTTTCCATTTATTTTGTATACTTAAAACTCGTTTGAATCCATTAAAAATATATGTGTACACCCATGAGAAATCTTGCAGCATTACAGTATACTGAAGGAATATTTGGCATATTGCAACAACTGAGTAAATACTCTGACTTGCTGAGACTCATCTGAAAGAATGAATTAACCATTGAGTGCTTACTTTAACTTTTCTGGTTCTGTTTGTCAGCACAAAAATATACTTGTTTACATTTTTCTTGCACATCCTGAAAGCTCTTCACTTTAGCTGTGAGGCAGTTTAGGAGACATGGCTATCAAGAGATAAATGCTTGCCAAGGATCAGAGGGAATTTGGATTTACCTTAAAATTAGAGAGGGCCTCCCAAATATGCAGCTGATTTGGCATGTTCAAAATAAGATTGAGGTCTTTTTTGAGTCTGGTTTGTAATTGCATTTAAACAAAAATTGCTATTTCTAGTGAATGACTTGGGAGACTGAAGTCTGATAAAAAGAGGGTTACCTCAAAATACTGGGTGCAGTACTTTTGCTTAATTGTGCTCCTTGCCCTACAACTTCATGACAGATGTCTGGAATGCAAATAAATTAATTTGGTTTACTTGGAAATAATATAATGAAAGGTATGTTGTTCTTCAGGCAACACAGCAGGGGAAAGAAAGGTGGATATGGAAACCCAGTTTCTTTCCTTTATTCTGACTGTGATTTGTAGTGCTCTGACCAGGAGGAGACCTTTGTATTCATTGTATTTCACTCCCAGTTCACCTAACAATAACTAATTGGATACATTTATTAAGAAGTGTGAGTGATGCACTAAAGCGTTTTAGTCTAGTCTTCATGTGAAAATTCAGTATTCTTAATGTGACACACCAGGAAAATTACACACGCCATCAACTCCTCATGAAACCTGTGACTAAAGAGAAGAATTACTTGTTCATTTAGGAAAGAAATGTGAAACTGTGTTAAGCAATCACCTGCCTTAAGCAATGGGCCGTGGAAAAATAACAATTGCAAGAACTTTCTAATAAAGAGGAAGCCAAAGTAAGTAGATGGAATGTGGGGCTAGGACTGGAATGGACAGTTGTCCTGGCTTTTCTTTCTCCCTCTCTTCCCTGCCCCCATCCCCAGTCTTTTTCTGCTCCTGTAGTGGCGAATGTGTATATATATATTTTTTTTTCTCGTGGACCTTGCCCAGCTAAGCGTGAGAGAAGCGCTGTGGAGGAGCAAGGTGAAAGTAGCTGAGGCTTGTTACCTAATATGGGAATCTTGGTCAGATGTGCTTTGTTACCTAATATGGGAATCCTGTACAGTTTTTATTAATAAAATCCCTGAAATTTCTCAGTTCATTAAGACTCAAAAACATTTATTGATGGTGGTGTTAGTTCTTGCTGTTCTTAGCTGAGCAGGAAGCTGGAACAAATCTGGTGAACTGTAGTAGCATTGCAGCGATGGGTACTTATAGTGGAGGCTTTTTACATTGCAAAGGTGCTTGGATGTCATTGGGAAAGGTGAGATGCTGTGTCACCTTTTTTTTTGAAGAAACAGGATCTTTAAATGATAGGAATCAAGGTGAATCATCAAGAATGCTGCATTATGAGATAGAAATTGTAAAGACATTGGACAGAAAGAGCAAGAAAATGCAAGTGTGGGCAGGTGGCCCAGGAATTCCTGCCCTTGGTTGTATTTCTAGCCTCTCTAATAAGGTTACTTTTTTTCTCAGATAAAAGCAGATTGGTTGTACTGCAAATCTTAATTTCATTGGCCTAAACAGGAAGGGATAAGTCAGAATTCTATTCTCATAGTTTTTGTGTCCGGCACTTTCCCAGTGAATATCATTTAGAGGATCAAAGGCTGTGTTTTGCAGACACTGAGCACACGAAGCCTGTATTTAGCTGTTTTAATTACACATTTTTTAAGTTTCATCACAGGACTTAATGTCTTTTTTTTATAGTGCTTCAGTATATAATCCTGTTAGGAAGCTGCAGATTTATAATGAAGCAGGAAGTAGCAATGCCATCGTTTCAGCTGATTGTTTTCCTCGTGCTGTAGTGTATTAACTAAGTAATGCTTCACTTGGCTGTGTAGAGCCAATTGCATTCTGAAAGACATCAGGCATGTCTGAAGATGAGTCATTAGCTTTGGTGCAGCACAAGAGGTATGATATGCAGTCTCAGCAAGTGTTTGTCCACTGAAGTTGGTTAATAGCCTATAGCCCTCTCCTGTGGCAAGATGGCGTAAGTCAATCCTTTGTGCATTCAGCAAACAGAAAGGCTGGTGCATCAGCTGCCTCTTCAGTATCGTCCTTTTATTCCCATTCCTATAGTGAGGTGTTAATCTGCAAAGAGACTTTTCATGTTACAGACCTCCGCTTCTGCCCCACTTCCTTGAAAGCATTCCAGAGGCAGCATTCACAAGGGCAGCCATTAAAGCCAGGAGAGAAACACTGCAGGGTTTTATGTGAGTGACTGCAGTCTCCTGTAGACTTCCTCAAGAGAATGTACAAAATTTCAGAACCAGCCCCTGGGAAGTGACTTCCTCCTGGGGAAAACGATGGGAACAGTCAGGAAAACTGTACAAGATTGAATTTTACAGTGTTTACCCTACTACCACTTCTTATCTTTTGATGGAGGTAAAGCCAACAGCTGGCAAAAGCAGTTTTTCCTCTATCAGGAGATGTAAAGAGGCTTTGGTGCCATTCCAGTCCATATGGCAAAGGATTCCTTTTCTTTGGCTCCCATGGCAGTCCTCAGTGCAGCGCCTGATCAGTTAAGGCCATGGGCAAGAGGGAGCTACCTTGTAACAGGCAGAAGTTATTAGAGGAAGGTGTTGTCAAGCCTCTGTGGGGTAACAGTGATCACTGCACACTTTTAGTTTTGATATCATGAAAGAGTTGTTCCTTTAGGGACCACACAGTAACAACGAACTTTAAAAGGGCAGATTATAAAACTATGAGGAAAATGGTTAACAGCAGGCTGAAGGGCAAAGAGAAGTACTTAAAAACCATAGAGATCTGCCTGGAGGCTATTTAAGAACATTGTATTAGAGGCACAGATGGTTTGTATACCTCTGAGCAAAAACAGCGTACGAGGAAGAATGAAACTCGCAGGGTTACGTGGGAGAAAAGCGTGAATATAGAAAGGTTGAAAATGCATCCCTTAAAGATGATGACTCTCTGAATGACAGACTAGGAAGTGTTACTAGGAGAGTGGAAAGAGCTGGGAAGTGTCAGTGCTAAGAAAAAGACTATAGCAGC